TCCGGCCTCCTCGGCCTCCCAAAGCGCTGGGATTATGGGGGTGATCCAGCCTCCTCGGCCTCCCAAAGCGCTGGGATTATGGGGGTGATCCGCCCGTCTTGGCCTCCCGAAGTGCTGGGATTATGGGGTTGATCTGGCCTCCTCAGCCTCCCAAAGCGCTGGGATTATGGGGGTGAGCCACCGCACCCAGTCTTTCATTTGTTTCTTGGAGCTCTGTTCTGATCTCTCTGGGTCCCAGTGCCTGCTGTATGTGCCACCACCTAAGAACTAAGCCCTGCCCCTCAGTCCACGCCAGTCGGTTCCCTGTATTCCTTCCCACCTTTTAGGGTGCATCTGAAGGGCTGACTCGTGTGAGCTGTGACAGTCTAACCAGAAGAACAGGGATCCCACTGGCCCCTCTCCCCTGGTGTAGACCCACACTCATTTCTACATAGCTTTATCCCCAAATTCAACTAATTTTTAAAACTCTATATTGAATGTATTTAAATGTCTGGGAATTCTGTTAAAACCATCACTGTTTTTTCTAGTTTGACTTTTTAAGTGACAGAGAAGAGCATGAGCCTGGAAGGACATCCTGACACCCGGACCACGTCAGGGCGTGGCACAGTTTTGTTGCCCTGACCACGTCGGGGGTGTGGCAGTTTTGTTGCCCTGACCATGTTGGGATGTGGCACAATTTTGTTACCCAGACCACGTCGGGGACGTGGGACAGTTTTGTTACCCAGACCACATCGGGGACGTGGGACAGTTTTGTTACCCGGACCACGTCGGGGGCGTGGCACAGTTTTGTTATCTGGATCATGTTGTGGACGTGGCACAGTTTCGTTACCCGGACCACGTCGGGGATGCGGGACAGTTTTGTTACCCAGATCACAGTGGGGGCATGGGACAGTTTTGTTGGGGATCTGCATGGCAGCACGGTGGCCACTGACCAGTGGCTGTGAGGTACATTTGTCGTGGCTTTAAAGTTCGAGAACCAGTTGTCAGGAAGAAGCACTGATTTCTTCTTAATGGTCTCCAACATCTTTTCCAGGGATACTTCGGGGCAGGGAAGATTTTGCACCATATTCCGCTCCTACTCTCGGGGTGCACAGGTAACGAGCATCCCCTGAGCTGGGAGATCAAACCGACTTTGAATAACATCTACAATGCTTAACTAACCATCCTTTAATGGATAATTGGAGGATAAGGCGGTTAAGCTTACGCATAAATTGGTGCCAAGAGTCTAAAAACATGGGCCGGGCGCGGCGGCTCACGCCTGTAATCCCAGCACTTTGGGAGGCCGAGGCGGCCGGATCACGAGGTCAGGAGATCAAGACCATCCTGGCCAATGTGGTGAAACCCCGTCTCTACTAAAAATACAAAACAATTAGCTGGGCATGGTGGGCGCCTGTAATCCCAGCTACTCGGGAGGCTGAGGCAGGAGAATTGCCTGAACCCAGGAGGCAGAGATTGCAGTGAGCCGAGATCACGCCATTGCACTCCAGCCTGGGCAACAGTGGGAGATTCTGTCTCAAAACAAACAGGTGCTGTAGAGTGGGTGGGTGCTGGAAAGCGTTCGTCAGCATTAGGGATGTAAGCCTGCATTTACAGTGTGTGTGCACGTACACAGTGTGTGTGCAGGTATGTGCACGTCTCTGTGCGTGAGTGCCTGTGTGTGTAATGTGTATGTGTGTGCTTCCCTGTATATGTGTGTGAACACATGAGCTGTATGTGTGTGCACTGTGCATGAGTACCTGCGTGTATTTGTGTACACAACGTGTGTGCAGGTACTTGCACTGTGTATGTGTGCATCTGTGCATGAGTGCATGTGTGTGTAATGTGTGTGTGTGTGCTTCCCTGTATATGTGCATGAATGTGAACACATAAACTGTGTGTGTGTGCACTGTGCATGCGTGTGTGCATGAGTGCCTGTGGGTATGTGTATGCAACATGTATGCAGGTATGTGCACTGTGTGGGCATGCCTCTGCATGAGTGCCTGTGTGTGTACACATGTGTGCAGATACGTGCACTGTGCATGTGTGCCTCTGTGCATGAGTGCCTGTGTGTGTACACGTGTGCAGATACGTGCTGTGCATGCATGCATCTGTGCATGAATGCATACATGTGTATGTAACGTGCAGATACATGCAGTGTGTGCGTATGTGCATCAGTGCCTTCGTGTGTGCACTTGTGTGCAGATGTGTGCACTGTGTGTGCATGAGTGCCTGTGTGTGTGCTGGCCTGTACATGTGTGTGCAGGTGTGTGCATGCAGGCTATCCAGGTGGCTGGGACCGCACTCCTCGAGGCGGCGATTACTGTGGTGCCCTTGCATCCTGTGTTCCTGGAGTGGCCCGTGGGTGTGAGTTCTAGTCCGCAGCTCACCTTGACGGTTGAGGCTTTATCACTGAGCTCATGAAATGTCGCTGGAAATGATCGTAAAACTGCCACGTTCGGCTGATAAATCTCGTGTTAACCTAAGGAAAGTGGTTGTTGAGCTAGCTGTGTATCTGCCTGCGTGGCCGCGGCTGTGCCTGCATCTGTGTCCTGTGTGCTGAGCCCGTGGTCTCTCCCCCAGGGTGTGATCCTGGTCTATGACATTGCGAACCGCTGGTCTTTCGACGGGATCGATCGATGGATCAAGGAGATCGATGAGGTATGTCATAGCAATGCCACTGTCCACGGTCCCTGTGGGCTTGGGAGGATGTCAGGTGAGGAATCGGGGTCAGGCCCCGCAGCGCTCATGGGTCCCCACGGAGCACGGGCCGGGGCACTGGATGGGGCTGCAGCCCCGAGGAGGGTGCCTCACCTCCGCACAGCCCTGGATTCGACCGGGCTCGTGAGTGGGCCACGGAGACTCACCGGGGCGCAGGAGGCTGGCCCAGATGAAACAAGCGCCCGTGACTGGGCTCGGTGTGCGGTGGGGCGAGGGCCCGTGGTGTGGGGGCTCCGGTGTGGGGGGCCGGGACCCGCGGTGACTGGCTCCGCTGTGCGTGGGGTCGGGACCCGC